ACATCTCTGTTTCTTAGTCCTTTTCTAAAGAAATCAATTCCCAGCTAACTCTCCCTTCTTCCTTGTCTTTTCAGGTCCCGTGTGAGAAATGAAGTTCCCTTGAACGGGGTGCATGAGGAGAATTGAAGTTCACTTGAACCGTATTCATGAGCATAAATAAAATATTGAAACGGACATAACCAAGTGTTCTTTAAGCGCTTAGATGGCGTTACGGCTTCTGAAGAACTAGGAAAAGAATAATAGGTAACTACATCATATGCAATTGTTATATATTTCCACCAATCAAACAAACAATTTTCAATTATTCAATTCTCAACAAAATTGCTCAGATGGTACTAACATTGGTTTACTTTCGATCTAGTTACTTCCATGCATATGCAGTGAAGAGAAGAAGAAACAGAGGGAGTGAAGAAAGCCAATAGCCATCATTCAAATGTATGTTCCCTGTTAATGCAACTGGGTATTGATTATAGGATTGACTCGACCTTTGAGCTACTACATTTAGGCTTATATACACAAACAGATAGATAATGTTCCATTCTATATGATGTGCATGTGATTTTTGTTTCACATATTATATCCTTGTGTCTGGTTTGCGTGCATTATCATTTTCTGTGCTTGGTTATATCCGACACTTGCATAAACTTCATTCTAGTTCTGTTCAGTTGATAATAGCTTTTGTGGAACAGGAACGTTGTAAAAGTACTGGCAAATTGCAAGAGTGCCGGAAGAGTGTGGTTCGAAGTGTGCTCAAGTCTTGTGGGGCACTTCAGCAGTTGAGAGAGCTTTCAGTATCCCAAGTGTGGTGTCTTGTGCTGCAGTGTCGAGCAACGTTCCTCCCTTCTGATTTCATGTTTTTTTATTTATTTTTTGTTTTATTTTGTTTCCTATTCCAAACCAGATTTTTAATTTATTTATTGTTTTATTTTGTTTCCTATTCTGAACCAGATTGTACCCTCAAGTCTTATAAACTATAAATAAGACTTTGGTCATACAAGTGACTCAGTTGTACATGTGATGAATTTAGGTAATTGTAACTCTCAAATTTCCTTATGGCTTTCAAATTCGTGTCGTCTTGTGAAAACAGTTTGTATTTTGTCATGATATGAATTAAATTCAGATATCTATCTGCCAAGAATGAGGTTAATTCCCTTCATTACTCATCCTTTGGTTGAAAGCTGTTAATAATTGAGTGATAGGTTGGTTGTTTAAATTGAGAGATGTAAACATTCATCTTGTTAATTAATCCAATTATCGTTTTCATACAAAAAATTGAAAACTTATCGTGAACAACTATAATTTGTAATGTTGTTTATCCCATAAATTGTGAATGATAAAATTATCGATTTATTTTTACAAGTTTTTTTGTCTAACAACCCCTAGATGTGGATTGGAAGAGAATATTTAAAGAATTTGCCAGCAGCACCCTTCTTTCCCTCCATAGAGGAGAGCAACTCAATCTAAGCTGCGGAGAAAATGCCTCCTCCCTTGCGGATTCATACCGCACACCAGCATCACTGATTTGAACCATAACAAAAGTACAATGACAACAGAAGATAGTGGTCAAAGCAAACTTGCGAAAGAATAAAAGCATAAAGAAAATATCAATGCTTTTTTGTGCCTTTTTTTTGTTAAATTAACAACAAAACGTGCCTCCTCCTCCTCCTAGTCACAGTTGATCTTGTTCAGAGAGCTGCAGCACGATTTCACCTTTTAAATGAAACAAAAAATAAAAGGCATCCCTTAATTTTCATAAATATAGCCTAGCCTAATACAAATCTAATATAGTTGCACTAGGTATTTAACACCCTCATCAAGACCTCATCTGTGCCTCTCACCCTCTCCCCTTCCTTCCTGAGAAGGCCTTACGCTTCGTTCGACCACAACAAATAATAATAATAATAATAAACGAAAACTCACTGGAGTCATAATGCCACCTATATATGAATCATGATTAGGTGGCTCCTTTCCTGGCAGTGTAGTTAGATGACAGTCTTCTGGCCCACGGGCTTTGATTAGGTGACCATGAAATTGGGAAGCCAAGCACGGCGCACCATCTTAGATTCAAAAGGGCAACAGCAAGGTTCTCTTCAGAATCTTTAAAAAGCTGTACTATTCGTGATTCAGCTTCCGTGTCTTCAGCAAAGATGAAGTCATCCTCAAATTCTGCCTTTTCGGGAAAGCTGCCATCTTCATTCTGCCTTTTCTGGAAAGCTACCATCTTCTTCACATATCATGCGCATACTCAAAACCTGCAGTGCTTCCATGGCCGTGCCGTGAAAACCACAGCTGGCATATGCAGAGAAAACAAATTGGCAGGTCGCTGGATCCGGCTGGACTTTTTCTTGGTGCATCCACTCAATGACAAAAGTTGTATATTGCTCTCATATAATCAATATTTATGCAAAAATAAGAAGTCATGAGTGCATGCACACGAAAGTTTTTAAACACTATAATTTATCTTCCTTCTGTAGATGGTGTATGTTCTCGTTTTAAACCTTTTTCCACAACCAAGAATCAGCTTGAGCTGAAATTTCCATTATGGGTTCATATCACATTAGTTCAATTATTGGTCTGGCTCACCAAGCCATCAATAGTATGCAAAAGGAAATTCGGCTTAGGGTTAGTGGGTAATTAAGGGGATTGGAGTTGGAAAAAGGAGTAGATGAGTTAGTGGTACCACTGATGCAACATAATAAAGGTATAAAACTTATTAAAAGTAATGCACGCCAACATATATCATAGGAATCTTTTAAAGTTTTCATTACATTGACACTAATATCCTTCTATGGTTTCACAATTTTATAGGCCCCTTGTTATGAATTTTCCCAGATATGCAGATGAGTAACCAGCAAAATGATAATTATTCAGAAATTAATACATAGTTGATCAAGATTCAAGCTGAAATTTCTTGAGCATGGAAATGAATCCATGTTTGCAATTAACCAAGTTCCTAAACACAGCTGCAGAGTGATCATAAGATACTCAGAAGAATCAGAACTGTATGGGAATTAGGTGAAAGGGTAACATAGTCATCTGATGGGAGCTTTTTCTGTTTACTTTTTTGAATGTGCAATTTTTAAAAGAAAGTTTTTAACTAACCTCAGCTCAGCTTGTTCGTTTTCTTCTTTTTATGATCTATTTTTATGATCTTTAAGGGTTGGGTCAGTGGAGATTGGGTCCCCACTAAAAAGCCATCGGCCAAACAGAAACAAAAGGCACGGCTGGAGCCTGTAAGGAGGCTGTGGGGTTTATTTTTTCTGCTTTTTTGTTTTTGACACAACTTCCAATAATCCAAATTATGCAATGGTGTCCATATCAATGGCTTCATGCTTCAGTTTGGTACTTTTCCACTTTGGTTGATTAATCAGCAATCACCCACTAATGCATGTAATCACTACAAGGTAAGAAGCCTGATATGAAAACTGTTGAGGGGTTCTTATTTAGTTAGAATTTTGGTTATTTATCTGGATATTTAGTTTTACCGACACAAAATAGTCTTTCGAATGTGAAACCAGAGCAGTTTAGCTAGACCCAAAAGATTTTTATTTAGTTAGGAGTTTTTTATTTAGCTAGACCCAAAAGATTTTTATTTTTTATTTTTAGTTGGGATGTTCCACTTCCACACTTAATGGATCTTAGCTTAAATGAGTTTACATAATAGTCCCTTTTTTGTGTTTTACATTAGTTCTCTATTTCTTTAATCTTTATGCATCATTTCATTGTGAAGCATTTCTTCATTAAGTATTTGCTATTCCCTAGTCCCTACCTACAACCCACATTGGTTTTGGGCATTTTGGCGCAAGTGCAAAGTAATAATAGTTCTTTTCTTTTTTATATATTTATTTTTGGTTACAGAAGTAATTTTTCATTTTGTTTTTCTATGAACATGCACTCAAGAAATAATCCATTTACAAAACAGAGGAATTAATTAACACCATTATATATACATTGCTTGGTCTCAAATCCAACTATGATGGCATCTATCTACCTGGGACTAAGCAATTTCATGGGCCGGCCCTACCAAAGCGAAAAAAAAAAAGCCAATGTGGCAGGGGAATTGAGGAGTCACTGTCTGACACGTGGAAGGTGATGCCAACATGGAAAAAGTACCGTTTTGCCAGCTGGCATTTTGAGATTATTGAGGAAAAAAAAGATAGGGAGAAAATAAATTGATTTCAAATGATTCCTTGCTTGTAGTCATTTTAAATCAATTTCAAATGTACGACATGTAGTTATTTCAAATACATTCAATATAATGTGATTCTTGTTATTGTAGCAAATTTAGATTGTTCAAATCATCTATGTCATAGCAGTTCTACATCTGCTGGTTTTACATGAAAAGTTGGTGGTTTGCTGCTCTCATTGTTTAAATGGTGCTGAATGTCAGACTTAACGAATTTTCACAAGAATTCTAACGCAAAAAAAGCCTTGTATAAAATCATTTACACCTGAACTGAGGGTAAAAGAAAAAGTGGCCTTTTTTTCTTTTGAAAGGAAATGGCTTCTTTTTTTTTTCTTTTTCTTTTTTGAATTACAGCGATTAGGGAGGGGATAACTTTTTCCTCGGATTCGAACAGGTGACCAAGGGGGGAAGGAGAATGGGGAGGGACCTCACCGACAATTTCTCAGAAGCTATGACGACCCGTCCCCATCGCCATGTGCGGTGCCAAAACCAAGCTGGAATGCACTTACAAAAGGTAACACAGACAAAAAAAGCTAGCATGACACAACGACCCATGTGGAAAGACTTGTTGTGGCACTGTCAATTAGAATTCTGCTTTTCATTAGACGACCCCATCCCCACCCACCTCCACGTGAAGGCATGGAAAAATTTTCAAAAGTTGTGGCCCAGAGAACAGTCCTTGAAAGTGAAAGAGACTAATTGTACGCTCATAACAAGTTATTTAATTATTAATTAGTAATGTAAAGCAACTTAAGTTGAAACGGAAAGACAAACAACGTTTTAGAAAACAGCTAAGCTTTTTAATTCAGTGTATCTTTCTTTAAAATAATGACAACACCAACCAATTGGACTCCATTAACATAATGACAAAACCAGTCAACTTGCTCCACTTGCTGTTCCACACCAAATATTGAAAGCTTTCCCACGTGATTTGATACATGTTTCCTCTTTCCTTTGTCCAATTATTTATAATCTTGCTCCACTTGCTGCTGTTCCACACCAAATAAACTCTATCAACAAACCACAACTTTCGTCAAGAATAATACTCTTTTCCTTTCTCCAATGGCAGAAGGAGTCCTCTTCAACGTTGCAGAACGGATCATTGGAAGGTTAGGCTCCCTTGTTTTGCAAGAGATTGCATTGCCTTGGGGTGTCAAAGATGAGATCCGAAAGCTCAAGGAAAAAGTTGCCCAACTCCAAGCTGTTCTTCTTGATGCTGAGCAAAAGCAAGCCAACGATAATGAAGTCAAAGTGTGGCTCGAAAGCGTAGGAGATGCAGTTTATGAAGCTGATGACGTGCTCGATGAGTTTTATACTGAAGCTCAGTGGAGACAAATGGTGCCTGGAAATAATAAAGTGTCAAAGCAGGTACGCATCTTCTTCTCTAGCTCAAACCAGCTTGTTTTTGGGCGGAAAATCGGTCATAAGATAAAAGATCTTAACAAGAGACTCCATGAGATTGCCTCGAATAGAACATTTGGTCAATTAGAAAGGAATCGTGAAGATGTAGAATTTGTAAGAAGAGAGAGGGTCACTCACTCATTTGTCCGGGAGGATAATATAATAGGGAGAGATGAAGATAAAAGAGCAATTATTCAACTTCTGTTGCATCCCATCTCTACAGAGAATACAGAGAATGTGTCCGCCATTTCCATTGTGGGATTTGGAGGAATGGGAAAAACTGCACTTGCCCAACTCGTATACAACGATGAAGAGGTTCAAAACCATTTTGAGCTGAAAATGTGGACGTGTGTCTCTAATTCATTTCAGTTGGATATACTTGTTAAGAAAATCCTAAAAGCGAATAACCTTGACATGGATCAGTTGCAAAATGAGCTTAGGAAGAAGATCGATGGGAAGAGATACCTCCTTGTCTTAGACGATGTGTGGAATGAGAATCGTAACAAATGGCTTAGATTGAAAGACTTGTTGATGGGTGGTGCAGATGGGAGTAGAATTCTAATAACTACCCGTAGTAAAAAGGTTGCAAATATAGCAG